AACTGCCTTGTGATGCGTATTCAGCTCAGCTGGGTTACGCCACCAACCTCTCAAAAAACAAAGAACACACATTTTAGATTATTTTGGTAAAGGATCAGAGATTTTGAAATTCAGAATCACATGAGTAGGATCTCTGTTCAATAAGACTATGAAGAGGATTTGTTTTCTGGCTGCAAATTATTCACAGACATGTAGTGTAAGCACTACTCATTGTACAGTTACAGCAGATAATGGAGTCACAGCACTGAATGTCCAAATACAGCACAACAAATGGCTAATACAAAACTAAACACACATGACTGAAAATGCTGGACTAAAATAATTCAAAAACTGGATGTTGAAAATTAAGATGTATGAACGCACAACACTGATCCATAATACCTGCTGGTATGCTATAGTTCATTCTGCTTGTTTGTTAGTCTGAAATTCATGATTCAATAATTTAACACTAAAACTAAAGATCAGTCATAACAAAATATATGTTAGGCTCAGAAACAGAACCCAACAACAGGACGATGAATCATCCAACATCCTTTTTTTAAACATCCTGGCAAACAAATCCTGCAAGTACAGTTACTGAAATAAACTAAATATTGTGAACATATTCATATACTAGGAGTTTCTATAATAACTATATAAAAATGAGCATGGTGAAAAATAAAGAGACAAACTTCTCACTTAACAGTAAATAGAGAATGAGAAAGCACTGACATTAGTCTTAAAAAAAAAAAACTTTTATTTAATGTTTTCTGACATTTTAATTCACTAGACTCAAACTAAAAGGATCAAATCATGCAACTACAAAATCAAAAAGATGGCATGGTGTAAATTTAAAATAAGAAAAACAATCTGAGTGGAAAGATGAAATATACTGAGGCTACATACTTCGTCTGTTCCCCCACAGTTGGCCTTCCTCTTCCTCCCAGGTTGTGAAGGGATGAGCCGTCGAGCGGTGCCATTCTATCAGCATACAAGAAAGAAGAAGTTACACATAATTCAATGAGAAAAGACCAACTCATTTTAGAAAGTTGTTGTTCTTTACCGTTGTGAGCGAGGAGAGCTGGTCATGGTCTTCACGGGACTTAAAGGGCTTGGTCTCCCTCACAGCAGGAAAAACAGATGCCTGAGAGGCTTCAGTGGAACTTGGCAGGGAGGGCACAGGGATGGCTGGGGCTACCTGAGTCGCCAGGGGGACGGCCTCTACTTTCCTTTTCTGCAGCAAGAAAACACTTGTAAGACGTTTGGCTTAAAATCAGCACAGACAGACCAAACACCAAACTGAATCACAATTTTCCAAACTATTCTTTTTCTTCCAGCCAAACCAGATGCATGTATTCAAAATTCAAACCAAAGTAAGAATTAAAAGCTGGGTACTCCAGTTGTATTTCATGAAGGAGTGCCATATTGGTATCAAATCAAGGTGCATCATCTGCACTTGGTTCAGTTTCAGAGCCAAGACTGTCTGTTTAATAGACACAGCATAACAAATTAAACTGGTTTTTAATCGTTTCTAGTTCTATCCAGGTTAAACTAGTCCAGTATAAATGATACCTCATTTAAGCCTGGTATTAAGATGGAATGAGCACAGCTCTACCTGCACTGGGGTGCACTGCAACTACATTTTTTTGTTTTTTCCCTCCCATTGTTTGTCTTTTCAGCATTTCATGAGATACATACAACTTTTTGTATTTCAGTTAATACCTGCAGGACACTAAATAAATCCCACTGAATAATCAATCTTCAGCACTACTAAAAGAGATTACAACACACAAATAGCATTGACAGATTTGACGCTGAAATGTGGTTTGACAAGTCCAGTCAGTACACCTTACAAACATCTGGATACACTTAAATCGCTTCCAGATTTAATCTGCACAACTGGATCAGCATCTTCCTTTACAGTTTCATGGCTGTTTATTCTTTATTATTATTATTATTATTATTTCAATTCTGATCAGCATGACCCAGCAGCTGTATGATCATACAAGATGCATGTAAACACCAGGTTTAAACAAAGTCTCAGTTATTTCTAGAGCTGGTAAATTCAAATTTGTACCGGTGTGGGGAGGGTTTTGCCTCTGGAAGGGGCTGTGGCAGATTGTAGGTTGAGATCTACACTCTTCCTCTGAATTGAACAGAAAGGAAACGAAGGAAAGGGGTTAACTGACATTCGTGTTAACCCTCAGGTTAATACTCAGGTATCTTGAATAATTATTACGACATGGTTAAAATAAACAGTTCTGTTGAATCAAAATTAGTGTGAATACAAAAATTTAAAAACAAAATCTGTGGACATCAGTGTTTCTAAAGAAAAAACGATGAGATTTCTCTGTAACATACACTCCTTGAATGTTTTACTAAGACTATCTTAAAGAGACAAGGCTGGGTTGAATGTAAAAGCAGTGAGGATATTCCTGTGGCCAAACCGTTAACAAAGACATCCTATATTCTCTAGTTTTTAAACACATGGTTGTTCAAGTAGAATACCACATATTTTAGGACATTAGTAAAGTGACAATGCAAATGGTTGTTATTAAAATCTTGTAGCTCTTCTGAATTTTTCTGCCCAGGAAACCAATCATGCTGGAAATATATAGAAACACAACATTTGAATAAAGACTAGTTTTAAGCTGTTTGTAGTATTTTTTTATTTACAACAAATATTAATCTACCTTGTTATGATCTAACAATACATGTTATCACAGCAAAATCCATAACAGTAATTGAGACAGTCATCAATAAAAAAAACACTAACTTGGATATCTTGAGGCAACACAAAAGGCGGTGTACTCTCATTTAAAATAGGTGTCCTCTCATTCATCTTAAAAAAAAAACAAAAAACAGCACCCAAATGCATTAATTGAGGTCATCTTTTACTTTTAAATTACTATTGCTATTACACCCATAAAACCAGCTGGGATTTTCAAATCTAGGCTCATACTGTGTAAAATAGTACTTTAGCACTGGTAAAATTATATTGGCAAAGCTGAGCAATGTTTGAGGGTCTAAGATAAACAACTGGTAGCTTAGAAGACACTTACCACTTCTCTCTCTGGAGAACTGGGTCGGGAGCCAGGAAGTCCATTCTTGGTTGGTGTTTTAGCTTCTTTCTTAGGGAACTGAAGCTTCTTCATATCCAGCCGGTCCACTGTGACCCACTCATCCAGACGCTTGTTGACTTTTAACACAGACACATATAGACACAATTTTACACAGGAACACATCTGCAGTGACATCGCTGTGTAAAATAATATAGCATATAAAGTGACTACAACAGTTTAACTGTCAAAGAAAAAGCAAGAAGGGACACAATTTATACTCACAGTCAATGTAGTGAACATAGTAAAGCTTTCTCCCAGAGACCTCCTTCACACTTAGAATTTCAGCCAATGCTGTAAGAAAAGCAGAGCCCCCAACTGTACTCAAATGAACAAAAATATTGTGGAGGACATCTATCAAGTAACTTACAAAACATTATAGCTTTACTACAATGCTTTATAACTGACAGAGGTTTCTTATAGTTCACACTAAACTAGTATTGCTGAAACAAATAGACAAATAATCAATTAGTTGATCAGCAAAAAATTAAAATGCACAATAAAAAAAAAAACTATGTAAAAAAACAACAACAACAACAACAACAACAAAAACACCACTGTTCCAGCTTCTCAGACGTGGGTTTCACACAGTTGTTCAGACAACACATGAAATCTGAAGACTTTATACAGCTCTGGGAAATTCTCACGGCCATTTATCACAATCTCCTGACATTTTATAAAGGACCAATTCATGGGAAAAAATAAAATAATGAATGCTGGCTGAAAGCTTTGTCGCAAGATAAGATGAATTTAAATTTAAGTGTCTAACTACCGGAATTATGTTTTTAGCTTATTTTGCAAGAGTGAACAGCTGTACCCCTTCAAAACTCTAATACAATTAAATAAAAAAAACTCTAGGATTGGCACATCTCTTTACTCAGAACACATGCAACCTGTGACGACATGGTAAATAGTTATTGCTTTGATTTAAAGTCAAAAATTTGATTTAAGGTAAAAAAAAATTAAGCCAAAAGGTTTGGAAAACACCTTACAAAATCCCCTTGGATGTAAAGCTAAAGTAGCTTTTTGATAAAATGCGTGTGTTTGTGCTGACTGACAGGCCATAACGATCTCTGTCAAGCGTAACAACAATATTTTCACCGATGTGTCACCGAGATGCCGGGCTGGTTTTACTGTAGCTGTTACTTTGCTCAAAACAAATGGGGTCAACCACGATCACTTTGGCCCACACACTTTATAAATGAGCCAATCTGAATTCCTGCAAATAACCAGTATTTCCTTTTTTTCTGTACAATTCGGTTCCAGATTTCTCAACAATCTGATGTCAGGCGGGTGATGGTTCGTCTGCGCCCATAAAGTGTATTTTATATAGTAGTCTACAAAAGTTGACTGTTTAATTTTTTTGTTGAGGGTCGCAGTGGATTTACTAAGCAATCACATCAGTATTGACTACTGTCCAACTCCATCTGTCCCCTGTGAGAAAGGTGTTTACAGCGCTGTAACTAGGAGCCGCGGCGGCTGTTAACAAACAGCGGAGTCTCGCTAGTAAGCATTAGCTTTAGCTAGCCTAGCACTGGAAGAACAACCGATAAATACTTACGCCATTCGTCCTCGTGTTCTTGGTTTTTACGAAGAACGGGAAGGCGACAGCCCTCAACAATCTCGACCTGTCAAAAACAATACGTTAATTTCCACCCTCAACCAAGTCGATGTCTCGAAACCATAATAACAAATTTTGGAAACCTACCGATGTTGCGTTGTCCGCCATTTTCGTCATCTGAGAGAGCAGGAGCAGGGTGTTGTGGGAAAATGCCGGTCCAGATCAAAGGTGAAATCAAGCAGCGAGATTCTTCTTCTTTATCTGTTTTTTTTGCGGCTGGTAGATACGTAAGATGCAATACCGCCACCTTTAGAATAACAATGCAGGTCAAGATTCTCTACCAAACTGTCATATTCTATTTATTAAGCCAGTATCCTTCAGAAAAGAAAAATACATCTAAACACTGTGCTCCGGAGTCCCTTTGTAATATATACTTTATTCAAAACCTTATTTTATGCTCTTTAATGTGCATTTTTAATCTTTGTCACTCTTGATTGTATCTTGGATGGTCCTTAAATACATGTTCTATTGTTCCTTGCCTACCACAATAATCACATCTACCTGTATTATGTTAAATAGTGAGATGTACATCTAGAACCACTGTGAGCAGTGGAAATTGAAGAAGCAAGGTGGAAGTGATTAGGAAGGGCACTGAGGATGTATGTATGTATGTGGATGTAGTTATGTTCTAGCAGGTTTACTGTGTGGTTAATTTAGATACCACAAAATCCATTTAGTCTTAAATACCAATGGCTCGATCCTGTCCTTTTGTTTCTCATTGAGCAAAAATGTGTAAAATTTGTAGAAATGTGACATTATTATCATAATTTTATTTTGTTTAAAAATTACTTTACAATATTATTTGGACTCTATACTAACCCTAAATCTAGGCTGTGTTTGGAAGTATTGACAAAAATGTAATAATGTAAATGAAATGTGAAATACTAAAAAATGTATGCACTTGGTGAGTAAAAATATCACTAAGTGAATTTAAAAGGATATTTGTTAGCGGTTATAGTGATTGGTGTATTTTAGCATTTTAAATTATTTCTATAAAAATAAATGGAAATTAATATATGGGCAACACTGACTGTTATACAATACAGCACTGAAAAGCACTGACATTGTTTTGCATGTGGAAATTTAATGGACTGTTACATTACATTCATCAAACTGGAGAGCCAGTGGTGATGTTGTATTGCTTCTACAGTTTAAACAAAAGTACATTTTTAAAGTGCTGTTGCTGTGAGGCTAGAGGCATTAACCTTCAGACCTGATTTTCCTTGTGTGTTCTCTTCTCTGCCCTTGACCCCAGTTCAGTTGTGAGACCTTATTTTCACCTGAAGGATAGCGTACTGACTGCAAACATAGCTAGAAATGTATAACAAGTCTGGTAGTGCTCATAAGGAACTCAGAGCACATCAGGGGCATTTCAGCATCAGCTGCATGTGTGATGGTAGTATAAGCTTCTGTTTCTCTATGAAGCCTCTTCCGGCTCTTTTAAACCAGGAACTCACAATAAGACGAAGCAGACCGCTTTAGATTTTTTTAAAAATAACCGTACTGGTTTATTCAG